CAGACAGAAATAACCAGGATAGAAGCCAAAGGTCAGTAAATGGAAATCAAATCATAAGGGTACTGGAATTGGATGCTAGCACAGTTCATTCCAGAGAAAGAAGGGCACAGCGGCTAGTTACAGAAAGTGCTGCTCGGGAAGCAAGCAGGAAGCTGATCTGAGTTTAAAAAGTGACCCAGAAAAAGCACGTCCCACTGATAATCTGTGGATGAAAGGGGGAAGCAATTCTGATTGGCTGTGGCTGGAAGATGTACTGATTGCAAAATTCAGAAGTGCATGTGGCTGCATACTAGAAGTATAGATATAGCACTGGAAATTTTGCCCATACAAAGCTAATTTTTTTTTAAATAACTGCATTGTGTTTTAAGAGCTCCATACATCTGCTTGTGTGTTTAGAGGTGAGCAGGGTCTGCTTTAAAAGAGCTGCCACTAGGGGAGCTATTTATAAAGCAGTGAGCAGGTGGTTAACCACTTCCTGCCCTGCCCCTGCCTATTGTAATATGACAGCCAGTCATCATATGATATCCTCCTGAAACATTGCTTGATTACACAACGGATACAGCCGATGACAGATCATCAGCTGTGTCCGGTGATCACTGTACTAGTCCACTGCCAGTACCACGTGATCGCTGTGACCAATCACAGTTGATCACATGACAATTGTAAACAATGAATGTTTTTGATTCATGCCATTTATTATGTACAATTGTGTTGTTAGCTGTGATTGGTCACAGTGATCACATGGTACAGACAGGGTCAATTACAGTCCATATGTACCATGTGATTAGCTGTGGCTAATCACAACAATGCATACTGAATGAATCAATTTCATTCAGTAAAAAGGCTTGCTTATAGCAATGAAATTAACTGCTATAAGCAATCATAATGTGTAAAGAAAAAAAAAAATCCTGATCACTTCCTCAGAGTAGTACAATGTTTACAACACCAGTTATATGATGACTTCAAAGTGCAACAATGAAAGCTGATAATTGGCCTGGACAGGAAGGGGGTGAAAGTGCCCGTATTGAAGCAGTTAAAGTGGAACTATAGCCTTGTGTGAAAAAATGTAGGTCTGACATGCTTTTATTGCAGAAAAGACACTGCAATAAAATAATTTCTTCTGCTTGTCAGTAACATTTTTCCTAAATGTACACAAAGCATGCATATGCAGCTCAGTTTACATTTTACTATGCACTGGATGCCAAGTTGATTTAAAGCGGAGCTCCACTCACGCTGTCCTGTGGTATGTCCCCCGCAGCCCATTTCACCAGCCGTCCTGTATTCCAAGAGGCTGGCATCTTCCATGTGGGCACCTGGCTGTGACTGCTTGCGGCTTCACAGCCGGGTACTCACTGCGCATGCGTGAGTAGCACTGCTCTTCATGAATGGTCCTGTAGTCTTCTGGGACCTGTCACGTGTCCCAAAAGACTACAGGGAGGGAGGGAGGGAGGACACCTTCTGCTTCTGATTGCCTAGGCAATCGGACCGGAAGTGGGACCGGTACCTGTCAAATTTGGGCACCCGCTCCCCCCACCCCCCAAGGTGCCAATCCTTAATGGGGAGCAGTCCTTAAAGCAGAACTTCCCCTTTTTGGTGGAGCTCCGCTTAAAAGGATAAGTGCACTTTAATACCATGTGTACTTGCCATACTTGCCCTCTTTCCCTGACTTAACCTAAAACACCCTCTTCCTTCACAGATGCATACTACCTCAAGAAAGCCATGTTTACAACCAGTGCCTTAAGTGTTTGCTGTCCTGGCCATGTCTGCACATTACAGCCCCATAGTCCTGGGATTGTCTCTGTCCTGGGGCATAGCCCTGTAGAAGTCTATAGGGCACTAATGCTCAGGTGCAGCCACGACAGTGAAGACGTTAGATTCAAACAAACAGCAGAACTGTGACCATTGGATCAAGGTACGTATGCATCTATGGAGGATGTAGGGTGAGTTAGGTTAGGTCAGGGAATGGGGGCAAAAATTATAAATGCACTTTGTGTTAAAATGTACTTGTCCTTCAATAAAGACCAGAGTTAAAGTATTTCAATCAGGTATTTTTTCTTTATTTAAAATTAATTAGGTTTACTTGTATTTTTTTTTGTGTGTGTGAAACTTGTACGGAACAAGCAATGAGTCTAAGAAGTGACAAATAGCCTACTAATAAACCTGAGAATGAATTAGTACATGTTGTGTCCCAAACTGCCATGACTGGTCATTTATCTAGAATAGCTGTGAATTATGTGCTTAGAACTATGATGATGATAATAATAATAATAATAATAATAATAGTAATGATGATTTTGGAGGAGCACATTCAGTGTTACCCCTACCTCTAATGTGCTCGCCAACCTGTGTTTTAGTGTAGTTTTCACAAACTAGCATTGCACAGATATATTTAGATTTTCTTGTCTACATTTAATACAAATGAGTAACCTATATCTGTGATGATGATCACATTTACATAATGACCTCTATTTATTGTGAATGCAATCATATTAATTGAGTTGCTGTCATAGGGGTAATTTGCTGCAAATTATAGCACCACAGACAACATTGCAGTGGCCCTTTTAACTTCTACAGTTCCTAAATCACTTTTTCCCCTGCTGATTAGCATACAAGGAATATACTATATAACATCAAAGAATATACACATGTCAAAAAGGAATAGGTGATTAAGCAAAATTTTATTTGCATGCTTTCTTTAAGTTTTAATTTTAAACAGTCTTAAATTAATATATTTTTATATCAAAAATATTGTATCTACATTTCACATGTTTTGTTGTCTATGCCTAGTGTTGATTAGTAGTTTTTTGCCTGTATTTGTGCATGTTTTTTTATACATGTGTTTAATGTGTGTATACGTGTGTCAAGTATATAGATAGATAGATAGATAGATAGATAGATAGATAGATAGATAGATAGATAGATAGATAGATCATTATAATATTAGAATCATGTGAGAATTAAAGGTCTACTAGCATGTAATACTAGCCCATGATACATGAGTTAATCATACAGCGTATTATATAACAGGAGTAGTCATTTACAGACATTGCTGACAGCTGGTCACCAAAGACTTGAGGGCATAAATAAAGAAGATACTAAGGAATTACATAAACTTGCTTTACTAAGATACAGTGTACATGGATATTTAGTTATAAAAGTAAATAGATTTTAATCATGAAGAATAGTTAAAAAAAAATAAAAAGAAACAAAGCATCATAGTAGCTTCTACTACATGTCAAACAATTGACTTACTTTAAAATATTGGCTCTAATGGGCAGAGTAGTAGATGTAGCTTTCTTAAAGGGCAACTGCTCCTTTAGTAAAGTTATATATTAATAAGTCCCCAATCCCCTGAGTGCAGCCCACATGGTCAAATATCTGTCTTTCTTACCATTGTAGTGATCTTGCTGTGTGCAATTATGCTTTATATGTGTGCCAGTATGATTACTGCTTACCCTTAGGAATGAATGGTCATTAGGGCACAAGTGTGGCAGTAGGAAAAGGACCCGGTCATGGATATTTTCTCTTTTATTGAATTGTACTGTAACTGTAATGTCCCCTTTATTTTGTGATGGGCTGTGCAATTGTTGGCACTATATACTGCATATCATATTTTTTATTAGTATTATTAGTATTAATAATAATATTAACAATAATATTAATGTGTAGTGCCATGCAGGGCACTGGAAGGGGAGGAAGGTAAGCATTTGACCAGGTAGGGGATTCCTAATAGTACAGTTGTCCTTTAAATTGTATCTAAACCCAAAACATTTGGATAGTGTGCTAAGAGGTTAGAACTGTTTTTATTCTTGTCTCTCCTTGTCCTGGTAATAATATTCACCATGACTGTAGGTGAGAAAAAAATCCAAACTTTTCAATTGTCACTAGAATAGGAATATCTTCCAATGGGGACATTTTCTCTAATGACAACTGTCATAGAGGGCATTAATCCCTGTTGTGTCTATAGGACAGTAGGTGAATGGAAAAAAACATAATATTTATTTATTTCAGGTGCTTATATAGCGTAGTCAATTTACGCAGCGCTTTACATGTATATTGTACATTCACATCAGTCCCTAACCCTCAAGGGGCGTACAATCTAAGGTCCCTAACTCACATTCAGACGTACACATACTAGGGCCAATTTAGACAGGATCCAATTAACCTACCAGCATGTCTTTGGAGTGTTGGAGGAAACCGGAGAACACCCACGCAGGCACAGGGAGAACATGCAAACTCCAAGCAGGTGGTGCTGTGGCTGGGATTTGAACCAACGACCCTAGTACTGCCAGGCAGAAGTGCTAACCATTTAGCCACTGTGCTGCCCATAATAAAAAAATACTTGCCGGTTTTAGCCATTCCCTGCTCTACCTAAAATGGAAAAACAAATGCTGGATCATGATATAATTTAATTTCATTGGCAGCATGGGACTGGTACAGAATAGCATTGGATAAGGTAAGTATTGATAGTTCAGGTGATAATTTAGTTTTTCAAATTAGTTAGCTTAAGAGTTACACTAGAGATAAAGCCAATTTTTTTAAAACTAAAATGGGTTCTTAGGCAGTGTGCTATACAAAAAAGCAGCCCAGGCTGCAATACTTACCTTCAATGTGGAGATATCTTCAACAGTATTTCAGTTTTTCACCACAAGATATCCTCAGCCTTTCGAGTTGAATTACACCCAGTGCAATTTCTGTCAGTACCAATGTACAGGTGGTTCTCAAGTAGTGGTAGAACTACCAGAGTCCAGGGGTGGACTGACTATTCAAGCACTCGGGCACTGCCCGAGGGCCCGGGGTCAGTAGGGGGCCCAATGAAATGCCCCTGGCACCTTTTTTTATAGGCTTTTTTGGGTGTGCTTTGAGTGTGGGCAAGGACACAGGGGCCCCATGATCCCCTATTGCGGGGGCCCCATGAGTTGTCAGTCCGTCCCTGCCAGAATCCCAAAGATCGTACTTGTGATTGGGCCCTGGAGTTCTGCATTGTGGGAGTCCCAAGAGCCCAGACTGTGCCTACCCAGCGGTGTTGCTGGCTGCAATCAGAGACCCTTACGTCAGATTTCCCTCCTTACATCAGAGTTCTCAGTGTTCCCCCTGTTACGTTAGTGTTACTAAACCCAGTACCCTGCATTCTCTCTATCTGGTCTCCCACAGCACACAGTACATGGAAGTGCAATTATTTTAGTAAATATAAACTGCTAAATACCTTTTCTCATCAGTAGTTAGAGCAGTCTTGTGACTTCTATTGGTGTTCAGCCAAGCACTGGTTAAAGTTTGTAGGAAGAGATTTCTTTCTGCTCTAGGAGGATGCAAATCCTCCTAGAGCAGAAGTCTGGACAGTGCTAATTGGCCCTGTGCTGATCACATGCACTCTCCCAAGGAAAAATAAAAACCTCTCTAGCAATACACACCAAACTGAGCATGTGCATAGTGCCTTATCAGGAGATAAGAGGGGGACACTGGAAGAAGGTGAGGATCAGAGGAGTCAGGATCAAACAGCATTTTTATACAATGCAGAGAATTAATCCCTTAGGTTCCATAGAGAGTATATCAAGCATGTGTTACTGCATATACAGACTGATTTTACTGTTGTGGGTTTAGTAACACATTAAATTAGAGTCCCCAGAGTTCTTCCTATACATCAGAGTCTGCAGAGTCGCCTCTTACAGTGTAAGGGGAACTCTGCGGCTTCAGATGTAAAGGGGAACTCTGCGGATTCAAATGTAAAGGGGGAACTCTGCAGATTCAAATGTAAAGGAGAACTTTGCAGATTCAGCTGTGAAGGGGAAACTCTGCAGATTCAGATGTAAAGGGGAACTCTGCAGATTCAGATGCTAAAGGGAACTCTGTGGATAAAGATGTAAAGGGGAAACTGTGGACTGTGATGTAAGAAGGGACTCTTGTGATTAAATCAATATGATTAGAAATGCTATTTAATCACAAAATATATGTATAGTGTATCCTACAATAAATTTGCCACAAGCCATTAAAGTGTTCGGGTTTGGCTTGAAGAAAAGGTGGCAACCCTGCCCAAGACTGCAGGAAGGAGGCCGCTGCAGAACATGTGAAACGGTCTAGCTGTGGGACCGCAAGAAAGGGACTGTGATTGGAGTAAAGGGCCCTGAGCTTAGAGGGAAGTGTGGTGTCAGGGGGGCCCTTCACGGTTTCTTGCATTGTTCTAGTTACGCCTCTGTTCTCAAGTGATTACAAATATGCCAAATAAATAATCAGCGTTCTAGTGTTCATTTTGAATCAAATCTTTGAATAATTGATTGCTTAACAGTTACATTTTTATTAGCTTTTCATCCAATTGATCTTTTAATGATGTTGTTATATTGCAACAAATTACAGCTCTTAGGAACAGCTTATTGCAATGTAGCTATTTCATTGCATTTTTTACCGCAAAGTTTTTTTTCTTTTATTCTTTTACAAATTAACCCTTAGTCCTAGTTAATAGAGATGAGCGAATTATTCAAAAATTCGATTCGGCTGATTCGCCGAATTTGTGGAATAAATTCGATTCGATGCGAATTTATTCGCTGCGAATTTAACTTATAAAAAGGGTTTCTAGGCTTCAGAGAGCCTTTATATTAGTGCAGAACACTGTACCTTTAATTTAAATGCCCTTGGAGTCTGCTGGGGAAGAGAAATAATACTGTCAGTCAGTATGACATGCAGATGAGTGCCGTCGATCTTAGAATCACCGCACACTTCACTCATTTGGGCAGTCACGGGGCCAAAACCAGAGTGTGGAGCCACAGTGTGGCGGTGGAGGCAGCAGCAATGGGAGGCCATACAGCACCCTATGACAAAATGGAACCCACCAGCAGTGTGAGGAGACCTGAAAGTGGCACATGGCAGAGTGTGGCGATGGAGACAGCAGCAATGGGAGGCCGTACAGGGACCCATGACACACTCTGGACCTGGCAGCAGCATGAGGAGGCGGTACAGGGGCCCATGGCAAGAAGAAGAAGAAGAAGTAGGATGAGGAAGAAGAAGAAGAAGAAGAAGAAGTAGGATGAGGATGAAGAAGAAGACGAAGAAGAAGTAGGATGAGGATGAAGAAGAAGAAGAAGAAGAAGTAGGATGAGGATGAAGAAGAAGAAGAAGAAGAAGAAGAAGTAGGATGAAGAAGAAGAAGAAGAAGTAGGATGAGGATGAAGAAGAAGAAGAAGAAGAAGTAGGATGAGGATGAAGAAGAAGAAGAAGTAGGATGAGGATGAAGAAGAAGAAGTAGGATGAGGATGAAGAAGAAGAAGAAGTAGGATGAGGATGAAGAAGAAGAAGAAGAAGAAGAAGTAGGATGAGGATGAAGAAGAGGAAGAAGAAGAAGGAGGATGAGGATGAAGAAGAAGAAGAAGTAGGATGAGGATGAAGAAGAAGAAGAAGTAGGATGAGGATGAAGAAGAATTCCAGTGCAGCAAAAAGTGTATCTGCAGAGAGCTCCGCTATTTCTGACAGTTCTCTGACAGTTCCTTCACATTTACAGCGGTTGAAACATTGTATCTATTTGTTTCCGAATAAAAACATCTGTATCCTAAATGGAAACAAATAGATACAATGTTTCAACTGCTGTAAATGTGAAGGAACTGTCAGAGAACTGTCAGAAATAGCGGAGCTCTCTGCAGGGACACTTTTTGCCGGCTGTAGAAGGGATGAAAATCGGCCGATCGGGGAAAATTCGATTCGCGCATCCGAAGTTTGCTAATATTCGGATTCGACGCGAATCAAATTTTTCCTAATATTCGAAACGAATTCCACTTCGCCAGGTTCGATTCGCTCATCTCTACTAGTTAACCTGGATTAACCCTAATGAACTCATTCCTCTTTTCTTTTTAGCTGGTTTAATATTGTTGGTTTTCATTATTCGTGTGTAAACAGTTTTTTGTTTCTTGCTTTGTTTGCTCTATTGTAATGTTGCTGTTGCAAGATAAAAAAATCTTTATTTCAAGCTTAGATAACTCTTAAGGGCTTTGTTATGATAAACAGGATGAATAGCAGAATTTAATTAGCATCTTATATCTGTAAAAACACTAGTTTTAAAACAATAATTGGTCTGACAAAAATTTTGTTTATATGTTATACTTCTTTTTTTATTTTAAGATTGCATATATTAAATTCATTTTTGGAAGAAAATGCCATCAAGAAAGACAAAGCTAGTATGAAGTCAATAGGTCAATAGCTGAAATATGAGAATTGCTCAAATCTGTGCTGGGCAAACAGGTGGATAAGCAGAAGTGGTTAACAGATACATATTGTATATACATTTTATGTCTTCCTTTTATTTTTAAGATGTATATATTAATTAGATCAGCTAGCTGTAAACTAACAACAATTATATTAATAATAATTAAGGCAAAGATAGACTTAGAAAGCATTCTAGACTGTAATGCCTTACTTTACCAAACCTTCATCCTTACTGATCCATTGCATGGACAACATATAGGAGTATAAATAAATGAATATTTAAAAAGCTTTGAATATGACTTTCACTAAACATTCACTACGGGTGCATCTTCCTGGTGCATTTGCTTTAAATTAAAGGGATTTTTCCCCTGCAGTGACTGGTGAGTATCACATTCACCACTTTATGAATATGCAGAGACTCTACCAATACTGCTGACATGTACACTGCTGCTCTGAGCCTGCAAGCTGTAGAGATGTGGCTGGGATCAGTCTCGTACAGCCTGTTCCCACCCATAAATCTTCAGCTTTGGTACAGTCTGGCAATCTACATGCTAGCATAAAGGAAGTGTGTAAACTCTGCACTTGGGCTTCACCATTCATCGGTGAAGATGCAGGGCTCAAAATGTTATTATACTATGAAATGACTGCCTGTGCCAGAATTAGTTTGTGTATTCCTTCCTTACTCCTTGTATTCAGATATATCCTAGCATGAACCTGCTACTATATACACTATATTGCCAAAAGTATTGGGACTCCTGCTTTTACTCACACATAAACTTTAATGGCATCCCAGTCTTAGTTTGCAGGGTTCAATATTGAGTTGGACCACCCTTTGCAGCTATAACAGCTTCAACTCTTCCGGGAAGGCTGTCCACAAGGTTTAGAAGTGTGTCCATGGGAATGTTTGACCATTCTTCCAGGAGCGCATTTGTGAGGTCAGGCACTGATGTCGGATGAGAAGGCCTGGCTCACAGTCTCTGCTCTAATTCATCTCAAAGGTGTTCTATCAGGTTGAGGTCAGGACTATGTGCAGGCCAGTCAAGTTCCTCCACCACAAACTCGATCATCTGTGTCTTTATGGACCTTGCTTTGTGCACTGGTATGCAGTCATGTTGGAACAGGAAGGGACCATTTCCAAACTGTTCCCACAAAGTTAGGAGCATAAAATTGTTCAAAATGTCTTGGTATGCTGATGCCTTAGGAGTTCCCTTCACTGGAACTAAGGGGCCAAGCCCAACCCCTGAAAAACAACCCCACACCATAATCCCTGCTCCACCAAACTTTACACTTGGCATAATGCAGTCAGGCACGTACTGTTCTGGCAACTGCCAAACCCATACACGTCCATCAGATTGCCAGACAGAGAAGCGTGATTCGTCACTCCAGAGAACATGTCTCCACTGCTCTAGAGTCCATTGGTGGCGTACTTTACACCACTGCATCTGACGCTTTGCATTTCACTTGATGATGCAAGGCTTGGATGCAGCTGCTCAGCCATGGAAACCCATTCCATGAAGCTCTCTACACACTGTTGTTGTGCTAATATGAAGGCCACACAAAGTTTGGGGGTCTTTAGCTACTGACTCTGCAGATAGTTGGAGACTTCTGCGCACTGTACGCTTCAGCATGTGCTGACCACGCTCTGTCATTTTACGTGGCCTACCACTTCATGGATGAGTTTGCTGTTGTTCCAGTTCCACATTTTTGTTATAATACCACTAACAGTTGACCATGGAATATTTAGTAGCAAGGAAATTTCATGGATGGACTTATTGCACAGGTGGCAACCTATGACGGTACCACGCTTAAATTCGCTGCGCTCCTGAGAGCGACCCATTATTTCACAAATGTTTATAGAAGCAGTCTACATGCCTAGGTGCTTGATGTTATAGACATGTGGCCATGGAGGTGATTGAAACCCCTGAATCCAATGATTTTGGGGTGTCCCAATACTTTTGGCAATATAGTGTATTTTCAAATATTAAGTGACCATCTATATTTTTATTTTTTAAAAGCATCCAACTCCCCATGAAAACTACCTATCCTCTATTTTAAAAGCAGATCTAGTGCAAAATCATTACACATTCATACCTCTTACAGAGCATATTTTGTTGCCAGAGATAAAACCTTTTATCTTTTAGCTATAAGACGTGTTTTTGTGTCTTTTGTGGTTTTAAAGTGAACGGCTTACCAATTATTTTTTTGTTTTTATAGATTTTCAAGGTGATCATACCCCTTTAATCAACTCTTCCGAAAGCACATTACATTTAATTAGTCTTTCCTTGCAGTTGAAGTCCATTATGCCCTTCCTTATTAACTTTGCCCACCCCTACAATATTCCAGTCATCCTTTTTGTGAAATTGAACTGCTAGTTGATCTGTATGTTCTGTATGATGGATCTCCTCTATTAGATCTTTTTCTTAATTTCATAAAGAGCCCTGGGAGGCCTCAAATCCAGATCCTCAGTTTGACATGGTCACCTCTGGCTCTGTGGCTAGAGCACTGTAATGCTTTCCACCATTTTCCTTAATGCCATACTCTGAGCAAACAAGGAGGAACAGATTGCAGTTGTAGAGGGACAAGTGTACCAGAGCTTTAATGTTGAGGTCTGCACATGGAAACCCCAGGGCTCAGGGGTTCCGATGCACTCTATAAGTTGAATTATAGAACCAGTAGATACCTTCACTCATTTGGCCTCCAATATTCTAATCTTTGCTCATTCTCTTACCTATCTTTCTGCATCTTCAGTGTCACTTACAACTCTACCTCCTCTCCTTTTTCTCTTTTTGTCGGAGTCTTTTCTAGGTTTCATCCTAGGACTTTTTCAATTCGCTAATCACACCTCCTCCCTGTATCAGCTGATAACCTCCCATGGCTTCTTATACCATTTATATACTGGTAAAACCCAAATCTATTTCTCTACTCCTCTGTTCACTCCATCACTTTCCTCACACATCACTAATTTACTATCTGACATATCAGTATGGATGTCACACCACTTATTTAACCTCCCTAGCGGTCTGATTATGTCCATATTTCTGTGCTCAAAATGGTACATTTTTTTGCATGGAAATATGTCTTTTTTTTATTGTAGGCCTGTAATTTTTAGGAATAACTCACTGAAATCTGTCCGAACAAGAGTCTAGTAAACATCCTGGGTAGGATAAAACTTGAAACACGAAATCATAAATTATAATCTAATAAATAATCATAAAAAATAATAATATAATAATAATAATAAAAAATTTAATTCAATAATATAATCAAACCAAAAACACTGAAATTTGAAATGTAGCGCCAAGTTCGCACATCACTGAGCAATGTCGCAAAATCGTTTTCAGTGTCTGATGACGAATTTCCCCACGAATCATTATCACTCAATTCTGCAAGTAGTTCTAATTTACTATCGCTGTTCTCTAGCTGGTCTAAAACTGCTTTTGACATAAAGGGACGTTTTTTTGGATGCCATGGACATTTCTCAGTTTCCAGGCAGAAAGAACATTAAAAATGCAGACAGGGTACAGGACAAAGCACTCGGGACAAAATGTATGTGACATGCGTTGATACAGTTATGTTTTACTATGTGATTTTAGCAATTTTAGTGAATGTCACATTTTGGCATTTTCAAATTTCCCACCGTTCCGTCCCCCGTACGTCCCGGCATCCACCGGATTACATTGCCGGGGACACTGCAGGAGGGACATCGCGGGAGTGAAGGACAAGGTAAGTGATTGAGGGATCGCAGAGCAGCGCCGGATGGTAAGCCTGAGTGTAGCTCGGGGTTACCGCTTGTGGTACTGAAACTTTTCCCCGAGCTACACTCGGGAATACCGCCAGGGAGGTTAAACTCAGTCTTTCCAAAACCCCTCCCCTAACTACTCTATCAACATTATTGGCACAACTATCAATCCCTCTGCCCATTCCAGAGTTCTAGGTGCAATTGTGGATTCTGACCTCTCCTTTCGGTTCCACATTCAATTGCTTAACCTCCACAACATCTCCAAGACACACCCCATCCTAACCAATAACACCACAAAGCTACTAATTCACTCTTTTGCTATCTCTTGCCTTGACTACTGCAACTCCCTCCTTGTTGGCCTACCTTCACACATGCTACCCCCATTACATCTGCTCCCACAATTAATAAAATTCAAAATACAAACAATAACATACAAAGCCATTCACAACTCTGCCCTGAGCTACATTACCAACATCATCTCAAAATATTACCCAAACCATCCTCTCTGGTCTTCCTAAGACCTCCTGAATGTCAGCCCCCTCATCACCTCTTCCTTGGACTTCTCCAGAGCCTCTACCATCCTATGGAAGTCCCTACTCCAATCTGTCGGCTCTCTCCTACTCTGTCCACCTTTACGTGATCCCTGAAAACTTCTCTCTACAGGGTGGCTTTTTACCTTCTTTTTTTTTTTTTGCTATTACTTGTTCCTCCCCTTTAGATTGTAAGCTCTCATGAGTAGGACCCTATGAATTCTCTTGTATTGAATTGTATTCAAACTATACTGTTTCCCTTTTCTTTGTGAAGTGCTGTGCAAACGGATAGCACTATATAAATAATGTATAATAATAATGATTTCATGTAGTTGCCATATTGTAAAATGTGTGTTTATGTCAGCTTATAAATTGGTGTAAATCTTTCATGGATTGTACCCCACTAAATAAATTTGTGTCATCTGCAAACATAGAAGTAGCACATTTAGTCCCAAAATCTAAGCCAGTAGTGGTCCAGAAATGAAAGCTTAGGATATGCTAATTTTAACATATACCATTCGTTACATGAGTCACGACCCTCTGGACATGGTCTTTATTCCAGTTTTTCTTCTAAGCACAAAATGTACATTTTAAGCTAACTGTCCTTATTTTACACATTAGGCATCTGTGGGGTACCATATCAAAGACATAATCAAAGTTCAAATATACTACATCCCCAGCTACTCCACTATTCCCTTACTCATAAAAAAACAGAATCGATTTATTTGACACCATCTATCTTTGATAATTCCATGCTGGCTATCACCAATGACATTTTGCCCTACCTTATTCCTGTATGTGCTCTCTTAACACCAACCACTTTAACTATCTCTCCAACCATAGAAGTTAAGTTTACAGGTCTGAGATGCTGAACTTGATCTCTATTAAAATTACAGATACCACATTTAATTTATGCCAGCCTGCTAGAATGAATCCTGTTATTTAAGAATGTCTAAAGAAACACTAATATACATTATTTTAGGACCTATGGGTGGAGACTGTATTGTGGGGAGGGCGTGAGAAATTTAGAAAATAAATTAACCATGGTACCAGGGTCATTAAGGGCACCAGCCAGCTGTGGTTCATTTGCCTATTATGGATCTTAGGCTCTTTTTGACCTATTTACCCAAAGAGCTAAAGAGCAGCTGAAAATCCTTTCCAGTAGGTTGCAACAACAATATTTGACACTGTGGGGCTGATTTACCAAAGGTTAATAGACTGTGCACTTTGTAAGTGCAGTTGCACTCTGTAAGGGAATTTACTCCAAAATGTAGTAAATAAGGGGATCCAATCATGTGCATTTTTTTATTATTATTCTTTCATGTGATTGGGTATTCTTTGCAAAGTAAAGCTTCATCTCATTTACTAGGCTCTGGAGCTTGCAAAGTGCACAGTCTATTTGTCTTTAGTAATTTTGTCTGTCCCTTGTCTTGCCCCTTGTGGAGTAAAGTATTGGCACTGCTATGACCCGCAGCAGATTATGTTAGAAAACAGCATTTAGGAGCTGTTGCAAATTTTGACAAAGACAGCTCAGAAGGAACATTAGGTGGCTCAGTAATATGTAGGCTGGGAAAAACAAAAACACTTAAAATAGTATTAGAAACCAAAGAGAGTTTTTGAAATACCTTAAATGATTATATGTTATCATATATTATAAAATGATAATTATAAAACAACAAAAGAACAAAGTACAAGACACAGAGACCCAAGTGCAGTAATATTAAAGTTGCTTTAATAAACACAAGTAATTGCACTTACAAGATGACTGTATAAATCAGATTATCATAAATCCGGCAGGAGACAGAGATTGGCAGCTCTTCCTGCTGTATTCCAACTAGGAAGAGTTTTCCTTTCTCCCTATTTCTGCTCTGAGCCACAGGCATGCTGTCATACAACAGATGTATCACCAACTTTCGACATTCTCACTGGGCTGCATTTATCAATATCCAGCCATGATCCAGGACTCATTGCACTGCAGATCAATCTCCACCACTTGCCAAGGGGAGTTGCCTATGCCTTCTTCCTGCCAGGGTTATGATAAACTGATTATTACTGTCATCTTGTAAGTGCAAGTTAAAGTGATCTTTTTACCACTTTACCTACATCTCTGCGCCTTGTACTTCATTTTCTGTGTTGTTTCATAAAGAACTTATGGAAATGTAACTGCAAGAACAGTGCTTACCTATATTTATGGCATTTATCATTAATAATGGAAAATTGATTTTTACCAATAAACCAAGTACAGCATGTTGTGATATGATTCTGTGTTATGTTGCAATTATAAAAATTTTAATGAAAGCTGAGATTCTTACAAGAGATTGATTTGTGAGAAGTATTTTACATTTGAGCTATGGTGCTATGTCCAGAAAAATTGATAATAGAAGGTCATGTTGCACACTGATTTTTACTCAGTAGTGTATTTAGATTTTGTGCTGCCCTAGGCAACACAAAAATGTTGCGCCCCCCCCCCTCCCCCTTTCCCAATGATAGAGCGAGAGAGTTCAATAAGTGTGTGTATGTATATATGATTCTCTCTCTCTCTCTCTCTCTCTCTCTCTCTCCTCTCTCTCTCTCTCTCTCTCTCTCTCTCTCCCCCCTTTCTTTATCTTCCCTCTCTCTTCCCTTTCTCTCTTTCTCCCTCTGTCTTTCTCTCCCCCCTTCTCTCCTCCTGCCCCCCCCCCCCTCTCTTCCCCTCTCTCTTTCTCCCTCTCTCCCTCTCCCCCTTCCCCCTCTCTCCCTTTCTCTTCA